TCGACCCCGCCCGGTCATTCAGGCAGCTAGGGAGCGCCCCGGCCTCTCCCGCGGCCCCGCCCCTTCACCTGTGTCGGCCGCACACCTGGAGCCGCCTCCGGAAGAGGGGACTGGAGACCGCGGGAACCTCGGAGGGAGCCCGGCGGCTTCGGGTGAGAGTCTAGGGGACGCCGAGAGCCGGGCCCCTCGAGTTGGGGAGGGACTTGTCCGGCCGCGTCGGCAGAGAAGGTTGGAGAACCAGGGCGGGGGCAGGGGAACCGAGATCGCCGGGGAACCGGGGGCGCCGGCAGGAACTCAGCCGTCGGGGGTGAGCCCAGCCCCTTCTCCGGGCATCCGACACCTGGGGCCAGGGGTAGGGGGGCTGGAGGCCCCAACACCTGGGCAGCTAAATGCGGAAGGGTAGGGGGAGAGGTTTCCATGTCCGGGTCTCTTGGGTGGAGGGGGTGGGGGGAGCGGGGCCAGCGAGGGCCAAGTCAGGGAGATTCTCAGGAGCGGCCTAGGGGCGGCTGGGCTAGGACCACGGTGACACTCAGGTCCTGCGAGCAGGACTGCACATGGACATCGGGCGAGAGGAGGAGGGGGAGCACAGGTGTGTGCACCTAGTGGGTGGAGACCCCCCTGAGGGCTGGGGCTGGTAAGCCCGGTGCGTCGGGCCCTCTGACCTGAGCCCCTGAACCCCAACCCCTGAGCAACCCTAGGGGAGCGCGGGGCTCCCGTCCCCAGGGGCGGGCCAGGAAGTAAACAGAAACTCCGAGCCGCGCTGCAGTCGGGCGGCCGGCACAACCTGTTACCTCGCCCTGTCCTGGGCCCTACGCCAGGGCCCTGGGAAACTGGGGGGTTGAGGGTCAGGACTCCTGAGTCCGGAGGGGTGGGGACATGAATGCCTGAGTCCTGTGGAAAGTGGGGACTGAGGTGGGAATCCTTGGTGGGGAACATTGGAGGTGGGGACCTCTGAGTCTGGAGGGTGGAGTCAAAGCACCTGCTCAGAAGGTAACAGGAGAATGAGTGCCAGAGAGCTGGGAGGTCAGCAGCCGGGATCCGGGCTTCTGGTAGGGAAGGGAGCTGGATTCCTGGGGGCGAAGACACCTCAGTTCCCAAGTCTTAGGGTCCTGCATTCCTGGGAGGAGAAGGGGCTGGGCTCAACGCCAACTGCTGAGTCCCTGAGAACCTGGGTTCTGGGAACTGTCTCAGATGGCAAGGGGCTAGGAGCCAAACTGCTGGGTTCTGGGAAGAGACGGGACAGGGAGCAGAGGTGGCCTGTGGCCCTGGAGCACTGGAATGAACTTTCCTGGGGACAGAGATTGTCTAGCAGAGGCCAAAGGCTGGGCAGGTCATTTCCTTCTGCTTGCTGCCTCAGTTTACCCCAGGGACATTAACGGAACTGGATGGCCAAAACACAGGTCATTAACCCTTCGTGGCTCAGGAAGCCCTGGCTGCAGGACCTGGCAGGCTGGCAGCAGGTGGAGAATTCCTGGAGGGCCAGGTGTTGGGCGGAGGGTGAGCCCCTGTCAGACTGCAGAGTAGAGTGTCCTGCAGTCACCTGTCCCCGCAGATGCTGCAGGTGACATGAATTCTCCAGATGGGCCCAGCTTCCCGTCGGGGCTGCTCTCGGGGAGCGCCTCTCCCAGCGGCGACGAGGGCTTCTTCCCCTTTGTGCTGGAGCGGAGGGACTCATTCCTGGGAGGGGGCCCAGGGCCTGAGGAGCCCGAGGACCTAGCCTTGCAGCTGCAGCAGAAGGAGAAAGACCTGCTATTGGCGGCGGAGCTCGGCAAGATGCTTCTGGAGCGAAATGAGGAGCTGCGGCGGCAGCTGGAGACGCTGAGCGCCCAGCACTTGGAGCGTGAGGAAGTGAGCTAGCACTGGACTGGGTGGGTGGCCGGGTGGGCAGAGGAGGATGGGTGGGCCTGGAGAGGACAAGGGAAGGGGGTCAGGCAAAGGACGGAGAGAGGAGCCGGGGAGGACAGCGGGGCAGGGGGAGGACATTGGGACAGATCAGAGCTGGGCCCAGTCCCCCTGGCAGTGTTGCCTAGTGGTAAATAACAGGAACTCTGGGTGCCGGGCACAGTACCTCACAACTGTAATCCCAGCACTTTGGGAGGCCAAGGCAGGAAGATCACTAGCCCAGTGTTCAAGATCAGCCTGGGCAACATAGCGAGACACTGTCTCTACAAAAAATAAGAAAATTAGCTGGATGTGGTGGTGGCACGTGTAGTCTCAGCTACTCAGGAGGCCGAGGCAGGGAGATCACTTGATCCCAGGAATTTTAGAGTTTGAGGCTGCAGTAAGCTATGATCCACTGCACTACAGCTTGGATGACAGAGTAAGATCCTGAAAAAAAAAAAAAAAAGAAGGAAGGAAGGAAGGAAGGAAGGGAGAAAGGGAGAAAGAAAAAAGAAAAGAAAAGAAAGAAAAAAAAGAAAGGAAGGGAAGGGAAAGGAAAAAAGGCGTGAATTCTCAGGCCAGGCATGGTGGCTCACACCTGTAATCCCAGCACTTTGGGAGGCTGAGGTGGCTGGATCACTTGAGGTCAGGAGTTCGAGACCAGCCTGGCCAACATGGTGAAACCCCGTCTCTACTAAAACTACAAAAAAAAATTAGCCAGGCATGATGGGGTGTACCTGTAGTCCCGGCTACTTGGGAGACTGAGGCAGGAGAATCACTTGAACCTGGGAGGCAGAGGTTGCTATGAGCCAAGATCATGCCACTGCTCTCCAGCCTGGGTAATAGAGTGAGACTCCGTCTCAAAAAAAATAAAAAATAAATAAAAAATAAAAAATAAAAAACTGGGTTCAGACCCTTGTCCAGCTGTGTGACCCTGGGTCAGCCGCTGGCCCTCTCTGCATCTTGTGTCTAGCTCCTCAGCAGTATCACAGAATACCAGGCAACAGTCATGGGTGTCTACACCCTGCCTGGCACTGGGCTGAGTGCTTTCCATGACTCTCCATTGCTTCTTGCCCAGCCCAATGAGACAGGAACAGTTCCCTCTACCCAGGTTCTATTTTTGGCCAAATTCTTGCTCTGGGGCTCACATCTGGTCTCCTGAACACCCTCCTTCATCTGCTGCTCTGGCCCCAACCACTGCCCTGAGCCTGAGCTGGGTAGCTAACCCTCTCCACCAGGCCACCTAGTGGGCATCTCAACACAAGTGGCACTTGATTCCACACACTTGATTCCATGCCCACATCACCTGCTGTCCCCATCCTTGCCTTCCCACTTGAGGACCAGGGCCTGTGCACCTCCTTGGCCTTTTTTTTTTTTTTTTTTTTTTTTTTGGCGAGACACGGGCTCCCTCTGTCACCCAGGCTGTAGTGCAGTGGTGCAATCATAGCTCACTGGAACCTCAACCTCATGAGCTCAAGCAATCCTCCCATCTCAGCCTCCTGAGTAGTTGGGACTACAGGCACACATGCACCACCATACCTGGCTAATTTTTGCATTTGTTGTAGAGATGGGGTCTCACCATGTTGCCCAGGCTGGTCTCAAACTCCCGGGCTCAACCAAACCACCTGCCTCAGCCTCCGAAAGTGTTGGGATTACAGGTGTGAGTCAATGCGCTCAAACTTTCTTGAATGTACAAATTCCCCCCAATATCCACAAGCCCTTTTGATTCTTCTAGACTAGACTCCAACCACCCACTTGTTGGCTCTGCAGCCTCCAAGCTGATCACAGATCACAGCCTCCATCACCTCTGCCCCAGACACTCCAGCCACCTGCTCCTGAGTCCCCAGCTTCCACTCTTTTATTATTATTATTTTTTAGATAGAGTGTCACTCTGTTGCCCGGGCTGGAGTGCAGTGGTGCGATCTCAGCTCACTGCAACCTCTGCTTCCTGGGTTCAAGTGATTCTTTCACCTCAGCCTCCCGAGTAGCTGGGATTACAGGTGTGTGCCACCAAGCCCAGATAATTTTCGTATTTTTAGTAGAGACGGGTTTTTACCATGTTGGTCAGGCTGGTCTCGACTTCCTGACCTCAGGTGATCCACTTGCCTCAACCTCCAAAAGTGCTGGGATTATAGGTATGAGCCACTGCGCCCAGCCCCCAGCTTCCACCTTTGACCCCTGGAGCCCATTCTCTAAGGGACAGCCCGGAATTTTCAAAAGCTGCAAATCACATCATTTCACTCCTCAACCAGAATCTCCCCCTCACACTTAGAATGAAACCGAAACTCTTCCCCAGAGCCTAAAAGTCCCGGCGAGCTGGGCTCCTCCCTGACCTCACCACAGCAACACCACCCCTTTCTCCCTCCAAGAAGGGCAGCCGATCCACCCTCTCCCCGACAATGAGGGCTCTTTTCAGTTCCTCCAAGAACTCACGCTTGTTCCCTCAGGAACTTTGCACTTGCTGTCCCTTAATGCCTAGCCTTCTTTCTGGTGGCTCTTCTTGTCCTGCAGAAGTCAACTCAAACACGACATCCTCCTTGAAGGACCCTCCACCCCCACCCCACTCCTTACTCTCCATCACTTCCTGCGTCTCTTTGCAGCCCTTACTGTCCCCCTGAAATTACCTGGCTCCGTCATGTGTCCATGCCCTCTGGACTCTAAGCTACTTGAAGCAGTGAACTTGGTGGTCTCATGTGCCGCTGACAGCAGACCCCAGAACAAGCGGAGCTCAGGAAATATGGGAGGATTGATAGTAGTGTGGGTGAATGGACTTAGAGATATTGTGTCCAGGCCACAAGGCATCAGCAGAGCCGAATATCAGCCAGGACAATGTGACCTTGAACCTGACAGCTTAATCCTGAAGCTGTATTGTCCCTACAGGATTTGGTTAAAAGTTCTGCTGCCTGAGTTGGCATCCCTGCTTTGTGAAGTTATTGTGTGGGCATGGTGGCTCACGCCTGTAATCCCAGCACTTTGGGAGGCCCAGGAGGGTGGATTGTTTCAGACCAGGAGTTCAAGACCAGCCTGGCCAACATGGTGAAACCCCATCCCTACTAAGAAAACAAAAAAAAATTTGCCAGGCAAGGTGGTGCACACCTGTAATCTTAGCTACTTGGGAGGCTGAGTCAGGAGGATCTCTTGAACTTGGGAGGCGGACATTGCCATGGGCCGAGATTGTTCCACTGCACTCCAGCCTGGGCAAAAGAGTGAAGATCTGTCTCAACAAAATAATAATAAATAATAAAAACAAAAATAAATGACTGTGTGTCCTTAGGCAAGGCACTTAGCAACTATGAGCTTCAGTTTCATCTAAACCCAGGACGTTAGTGATTCTCCCTCTAGTGGATGAAATGAAGTAATGCAGATAAACCCCTAATGCAGGGTACCTGCCAGTCACTGCAGTAGCTGTGGCAATTGTCACCTTCGTCCAAGCCCATCCCGCTTTGAGGGCCTAGAGAGAGTGGGCCAGAGGTTAACCCCCGACTCATCTGCTTCCCCACGCTGGGCATCTGGGTATGCCAGGGCGTTCCCCCGCTGGTCAGACAGGTTTTGGGGCCGGGGCGGGGCTGACCAGGGTTAATTAGAGGGAACTGGCTAGCAGGAGCTGGGGAGGGGGCTGGGCAGAGTCTAGGCCTCCAGAGCCCCTGGGACACAGCAGGTGTGTGCTGCCATGGGCCGGGGCTTGAACTCTGCCAGACTCAGGCGCCAAAAACGGCGCTTGCGACCTCGGGTCCAGAAGCCCAGGCAACAGCTGGAGGTGAGTGGTCATCAGAGAGCCCCATCCCCACCCTTGCCCTGGGCCCACGCGTCCTGTCTGCCCGGAACCTTCCCTCTAAATCTCTGGGTCTTGCTCATTCTTCCTCCCTCATTCTCCCTTGCTTTTGTGTCTATCTTGGACACAAGGCCCCCTTAGGCTTTCTCCCTAGGTGTCTGTCCCTCCATCCCCATCTCTCTGTGCCTGTCCAGTCTCATCGGTGCCTCTCTGCCTCTGTCCCTCTGCCCTGGCCCCTACAGCGGCTCCAGCAGAACCATGAGCTCCGGCGAGGCCTTGCAGCCCGAGGAGCCGAGTGGGAGGCCAGGGCCGTGGAGCTGGAGGGGGACGTGGAGGCCCTGCGGGCCCAGCTCGGGGAGCAGCGCTCGGAGCAGCAGGACAGTGGGCGAGAACGGGCACGGGCCCTCAGCGAGCTCAGCGAGCAGAACCTCCGGCTCAGCCAGCAGCTGGCTCAGGTGGACAAGGTGGAGGAGGACGCCTTGGTCCCCAGTGGGGAGTGGGTGCATTGGGCATGGTGCTGAGGCTCCTCTGCCCCCCTTTCCACCTCCTCAGGCCTCCCAGACTGAGCAGGAACTTCAGAGGGAACTGGACACCCTTCGGGGACAGTGCCAGGCTCAGGCACTGGCTGGGGCAGAGCTGAGGACGAGGCTGGAGAGTCTGCAGGGGGAAGTGAGTTTCCGCTGGGGCTGGGGGATTGTCTGAGACAAAAAAGCCGGGCCGGGGGCTGGGAGGGGGCTGCCCCCCTCCCCAGCTCTCAGGCCTTTCCCCAGAACCAGATGCTGCAGAGCCGCCGGCAGGACCTGGAGGCCCAGATCCGAGGCCTGCGTGAGGAGGTGGAGAAGGGCCAGGGCCGACTGCAGACCACGCACGAGGAGTTGCTGCTGCTGAGGCGGGAGAGGCGGGAGCACAACCTGGAGGTGACCTGCAGGGCTAGGGTATACAACTGCCTGGACCCTTAGCAATGGCTTCAGGGTTTTCTGGGAGATGAGGCCAGAGCTGGATCACTGGGAGGTCCAGAGGCTGGCCCACAAGAGCATGGGCATTAGCCCATGGGCAAGTGGGAGCCAAGGAAGGCTGTTAAGCAGGGGAGGCATGCTCTTAGAATACATCAGAGCCTGGCAGCTGAAAGGGCAGGGAGGGGGCTGATGCCAGAGCTCAGGCCAGGAATGACAGCCCCTAGACCATGGCTGGGCAATGGAGATGGAGAAAAAGAAATGAAAAGAGGACGCGGGGTCTGATGTTAGAGATCAAAGGAGTCTGCACTTTGGGGTCAGCTTGCCTGCCTTCACATCCCAGTGCCCCTTTTTGCTACTGTGGGACAAGCAGCCTCAGTAGCACCGATAAATGCTGCATGAAACAATTAGTGAATGAGGAGGTAGACTGGGCAGGGGAGGGAATAGGGCTCTTCGAGGTGGGGCCCTGCTTTATAGGCGAGGAAATTGTGTGTCTGCTGAGGGAGGTGCATGGCCCAAGGCGCCCAGCGATCCAGGAACGGGAACAGCCTGGGCCGATGGGGTGCGGGGCCCTCCACGGCGCCCCCGTGTGGACCTGCCGCGGGATGCCGGCGCTGGGTGCGTCCCGCTGACCACCTGCGCTTCCGTCTGCGGGACCGTCCACAGCTGGAACGCGCACGGTCCGAGGCCGAGGAGGCGCTGAGCGCGCTGCGGAGGCTGCAGCGGCGCGTCTCCGAACTGGAGGAGGAGTCACGCCTCCAGGACGCCGACGTGTCGGGTGCCTCGTTGCAGTCAGAACTGGCCCACAGCCTCGAGGACGGCGACCAGGGCCAGAGCGCCGAAGCACGCGGAAACACCCCGGTGAGCTCGTGGGCCCTCAGCCCCCTTACCTGTGCCATAGAGAGGGTCGCAGGCTCCGCCTTTCCTCCTTTCCCTAATAGACTCCACACCACTAACCCATTTCTTTGGCCCACAGACCACCCGGTCCCCAAAGACCCGAGAGGCATCCAGTCCCCAGCCTTCACCCCCGGAAGAGAGCTTAGAGCCCCCCAAGAAGCGAGCATCCCTCAGCCCAGCGGAGATACTGGAGGAGAAGGAGGCGGAAGTGGCCAAGCTGCAAGATGAGGTAGGGGAGAGGGCACTGTGCTGGATGCAGGGCCCCTCTAGCTGTCAGTTTCTGTCTCCCATGTCCACTTCCCAGCCTTTGCCCACTAAGCTCCCTATACCTGGATCGGTCTTCATCTCAACAAACTTACTTCAAGAGCCAGCCTGCATGGCACCTCCTCCAGGAAGACTTCCTAGACAGCACCTCCCCGCTTAGTTCCACTTCCAATGCTTCTCCCTGCATCCCTCCTGCAGGGTTATACCACTCCCACTAGCCCTGCTCCACCCCACCCTGCACCAGCCTGAGGGTCTCAGAGGGCTCATCTTGGAGTCTCTAGCACAGGGCTACAGCTGCCTGGGGTGTCTGTCGCAGGCAGAGGAGGGCTGGGGAAAGCCAGAGTCGGGGCTGCTGGGAGAAGCGGGGACTGAAAGGCCCACTGGCTCATCTGCCGCACGGCCCCTCCTCTGCTCACAGATCTCGCTGCAGCAGGCAGAGCTGCAGTCCCTGCGGGAAGAGCTGCAGAGGCAGAAGGAGCTGCGGGCGCAGGAAGACCCTGGGAAGGCCCTGCACAGTGCCCTCTCAGACCGGGACGAAGCCGTGAACAAGTAAGCCTCAAGCCATCCACCACCACCCCAGCGCCCTCTGGGCCTTCCTGGGCTCCTGATTCCTCTTCTGATACGGGTTATAATGATCCCCACTCCCACCCAGGGGCCCACTGACCTCCTTGATCTAGGTGTTGGCAGCCCTCCTCCCGTTCGGGTCCAGAATTCCCCCGCCACCCCGGCTCCCTGAAGCCCTAGCGCCCTCAAACGCGTCGTCCGCCCCTCCCCGCCTAGGGCCCTGGAGCTGTCCCTGGAGCTCAACCGCGTCTCGCTGGAGCGAGACTCCCTGTCCCGGGAGCTGCTGCGCGCCATCCGCCAGAAGGTGGCGCTCACGCAGGAGCTGGAGGCCTGGCAGGTGAGGGGCGGGGTCCGTGTGCGGAGGAGGGCAGGGGGCGGGACCGGTGCTGAGCCGACCACGGCCTCCCGCAGGACGACATGCAGGTGGTGATCGGGCAGCAGCTGCGCTCACAGCGCCAGAAGGAACTGAACGCCGCCGCGTCGTCGTCGACCCCACGCCGTGCCGCGCCCCGCTTCTCTCTGCGCCTGGGCCCCGGGCCCGCCGGTGGCTTTCTCAGCAACCTCTTCCGAAGGACCTGAGGGCTGGGCCCAGGGGCTGCCCTTGCCCGCTTAGGGGCTCACTTTCCTCTTCTGGCCAATTAAGCGACAGGGCCTGGATTGTCTTCCAAAAGGAGCTGATGCCCTCCCCACCCCAGGATGCTGGGCAAGGGCTCATCCGGAGCAGGGGCCAGCTTTGTGGGGCAGGAGCCCCTGGTGGGTGGCAGGGGCAGGTGAACAGAGCTATTTTCCGAATCAATATAGGTCTATCTTTTCTAGGGCAGGGATGGGGCTGGGTATTTATGTATCAAGATGGGACAGAGTAATATATAAATCACTCCACCGATTTGGCCTCCATTCGTGGAAAGAAAGAGCACGGAAAAAAAGCCTGAAACTTTATTGTAAAAAAGAAAATGAAAAACACTCTAAAACCCTGGGCTGGCTAGGGGTGTCGTCGGAGGTCAGAAGGACAGGGAGAAGGCTCGGTAGCCCAGGTTGGTGAAGACATCCACCCGGCAGCTGTTACCTGCAGCTGTCAGGACCTGGAGGAAAGAGGGGCATGACTTGCCTGCCCACACCCCTGCCTCCCAGCCACCCCATGGCCCCTGCCAGACCCACCTTGCACTCGGGCGCGGCGGGCTGCTGGTTGAGGCTGAGGTTGAGCAGCCCTGGGGAGGAGCCAGGCACCTGGGCCTTCAGCTCCCCGCTCAGCTGCCACTGGTTGACACAGCGGCCCTGGCCAGCCGACAGAATCTGCAGAGGATAGGGAAGGTGCTCGGGGGTCACGACTGAAGGGAAGAGTCAGTGGGGGTGGCAGAAGTGAGAGAGAGGGACTCACCAGGTCCTGGTAGAAGGTGACATGCTTCTGTGGCGCCCGGATGGGGAAGACAGTGGTAGGTGTGGAGGATCGGAGGTGCCAGAGGGTGAGGGCTGGGCCCCCTCCACAGACCTGGACAGAAAGGTGGGAGTCCCCAGCTGTGAACTACAGGCCCACAGCTGACAGGGCCCGGAGCTGCCATCCAATCCCACAGTCTGCCCAGCTCACCATCCAGTCGGAATCAGTTGCCAAGCATCCGATCCAGCGCCCATTGTGGGGCCTTGAACACTCCTGGGCGGCGGGGGAGGGAAAGAGGTGAAGACATGCAGAATTCAAGGAGCGGGAGGGGAAGAGGACAATGGCCATGGACAGACCCTCACCTCGTGCTTATAGACCTCGATCGTCTGGACCTCCTTGGCTGTGCGCAGGTCTGTGGGGAAAGAACTGTGAGTGGTGCCCCATTCACCTCAGCCTCCTTCACTGCCATCTTGCCCTCCAGCCAGCCACCTCCTTACCCCAAAGTCGAACAGCTCCGTCCTCGCCACCTGACAGCACCTCTGGGCTCCTTTCCCGCAGTGCCAGGCAATGGATGTAGTCTGTGTGGCCCCGGAGGACCCGCTGCATGTAGAGGGGCGATGTCAGGAGGAGACCTAGGAAGAGTGCCTCTCCCTGGCCTGGACCTGCTCTAGGGCTCCAAGACCCTGCTCACCGTGAAAGTCCCAGTTTCAAGGTCCATAGTGTGCAACTGACAGTCTCCCCCAGCCAGGATGAGGGAGTTCTCCTGTGGAGGGAGCAGGGTGAGGCAGGAAGTCAATGTCAAATCAGGGTAGGCAGAGGGTGAAGGATCAAAGTTTGGACAAGAACAGTCATATGGGGCTCAGACCTTTGGGACCAGCAGCAGAGCATTGATCTCGGGCACTTCCAGGCTGGTCCTGGGGAAGGAAAGGCAGGGTCAGTGAGGAAGTCACTTCACCCCGATGCCCCCTCTATCCATGTGACCCTGGCTCACCTGTATGGAGGCTGACGATGCCACAGCTCCTTACACCCCTTCAAAAGGGAAAATACCAGTTGACCTCAAAGGCTCTCTCTGGGTCCCGGCACCCCAGCCCTTTCCCGAGCTCAACTCCTTACCTTCTTGAGCATCTCCGCCCAAAGCCAGGCCTTCACCTCCCCATCCCCAGCACTAAGCAGATGTCGATCGGTGGAGACCATGCTATAGACAGGCCCATCATGGGCTAAAGAGAAATGCAGAAGTGAGTTGACCAATTCCACCCAAAGTCCTGAAGCCAGACTCCACAGCTATACCCACCTTGGAAAGTCACCACTGGCTTCTTACTTTCCTCTTTGGCTTCGGAGCTCAAAGCAGCGGACAAGCTGCAGGGGACAGCGGAGGGGACCCAGGAGTCAGAAACAGGGGCATCCGTCCCATGAGGGCCAAGTGCCAGGGCTAATGAGTGGACAGCGGCAGAGGGTACCTGAAGATGGCAATCTGCCCATAATTGTTGCCAGCCGCCAGAAACTTCCCACACGGTGAGACGCTCTGGGAGAAGATGGTCATATGGAGCCGCTGCAAGGCCTGGAACACCTCTGTCTGCAGGGAAGAACTGGATGAGGCCTGCCTGGGATGTATGAAACCTCCCATCCACAGACTCCTTCCTGCTTCCCCCAACACCTGCCAGGCCTCCCACTGTCCTGACTTCTCAGCCCTCTTTTGAGGCGGCCCGGCCCCAAGCCAGCACTTGCCCATGCAGTCCTATGGGCGGCTCCAAGAAGACAATGAAGAAGGGGCGAGTCGAGGTGATGCCTCAGGGACCCCTGAGCAAGCACCCAGCACTCTCCTACCAGCTTCCTCAACTGTCAAGTGGAGCTCACAGAAGATTCCATCACAATTAGATGAGCTAGTGTATAGACAAGAGCTTTCCATGGGGCTGTCACTCAGTGCTGAAGCCAGGTGTGGTGGCTCATGCCTGTCATCCACCGCTTGGGGAGGCCAGGAGTTCGAGAGCAGCCTGGTCAAAATAGTGAGACTCCGTCTCAACAAAAAATTTAAAAATGTGGGGCCGGGCGCAGTGGCTCACGCCTGTAATCCCAGCACTTTGGGAGCCCGAGGTGGGCGGATCACCTGAGGTCTGGAGTTCCAGACCAGCCTGACCAACATGGAGAAACCCATCTCTACTAAAAATACAAAATGAGCTGGGAGTGGTGGCGCATGCCTGTAATCTCAGCTACTTGGGAGACTGAGGCAGGAGAACTGCTTGAATCTGGGAGGCGGAGGCTGTGGTGAACCAAGATGGAGCCATTGCACTCCAGCCTGGGCAACAAGAGTGAAACTTCATCTCAAAAAAAAAAAAAAAAAAAAAAAAAAGTGGCCAGGCATGGTGACTCACACCTGTAATGCCAGCACTTTGGGAGGCTGAGGCGGGAGGATTACCTGAGGTCAGGAGTTCGAGACCAGCCTGGTCAACATGGTGAAACCCTGTCTCTACTAAAAACACAAAATTAGCTGGGCATGGTGGCACACGCCTGTAGTCCCAGCTACTCAGGAAACTGAGGCAGGAGAATCGCTTGAACCCAGGAGGCGGAAGTTGCAGTGAGCTGAGATCGTGCCACTGCACTCTAGCCTAGTTGACAGAGTGAGACTCCGTCTCAAAAAAAAAAAAAAGTGCTTTGCAGGAACTAGAAAATTTAAAAAAAAAAAAAGGGGGGGCTCCACTACCCCAACATAGAAAAACGTACTGATTTATAATCCCTACTCTCTGACTTGCATTAAGCCCCTGAGGCACTTCTGGGTTACTCTCCCGCCCCCCGGTCAGCGTCTGAGTTCCACAAATAGCCCAGGCAAAATAGGACTCAAAGGGCACAATTCCCTGCCCGCCCCGTCCCAGCCATGAATGGACTACAAATCCCAGAAGGCAACGCGCACCACGTCCGTCTCACCTGACCCAGCGGTACCGCGAGCGGCACAGCTCGCTCCATCTCCAGAACTACAAGTCCCAGAGTGCTCCGCGTGCGACGCAACTTCACGAGGCCTTACGTGCCTACAGCGGTTCCTCTCCGTGGCGCCCTACTGCCCTCGGCGCGAATGTGGCTGCTGCGTACCGTCCTGAACCCCAGGAGCCGAGGTGAGCGCCGCGAAGACCCCCGACATTAAGAAGTGGTGTCCACCGCAGCCCCGCTAAGCCGGATACCCTCCCTCACCCCGAGGAGCAAGGCTGCCTTCCGCCACGCGCCGCCCTTCTTCCGCGCCCGCGCAGAACCTCGCCGCTGTGCCCGCCTAAAGCCACGCCCATCCTCGCTGGGCCACGCCCTCAGAGACTCCTCCCCTGTCGCCCAGATCCCACCCGCAGGACCCCAAAACCCAATGATCCTTCAGCAGCCCTTGGAGCGAGGCCCCCAGGGTGGGGTCCAGCGCCTCCCGCGGGCCGCCTTGGGGGTGACTCGGGGCCTGGACGCCAGGTGCGTGTGGGGGACCGGGGTGGGCCTGACCAAGGGCCGCAGGAGCTTTGGCTGGGTGCTCAGGGCTGGTCTGCAGGATGAACACGCGGTGGGGCGAATCGGTGGGGCTTAGGCGTGAGCTGAGATGGTATTGGGGCTGCAGTTCAGGGTCCAGACTTCCGAAGTACGCTGCTGGATGGCCCAGGAGAGGGGGGACCAGCACCAGCTGAGACAGTAATGGGCTTGGGGCTCCTGGCTGATGCTGCAGGCTCAGGCGGGCATATCCTTGGGAAGGGGCCAAGAGGGTGGGGTGCACCAGGCTCTCTTTTTTTCCCAGCTCCCCTCTCCGAGGAGCTGTGCCCATGAGCACCAAGCGGCGCCTGGAGGAGGAGCAGTGAGTTTGGGGGCAGGGAGGGACTCCCAACGAGAGCTCTGTCACCTCTGGTCCCCAACAGGCTGCCTCCTGTCTCAATATCCCAGCCTGCCTCTCTCCCATCTCTCCCCAGGGAGCCTCTGCGCAAGCAGTTTCTGTCTGAGGAGAACATGGCCACCCACTTCTCTCAACTCAGCCTGCACAATGACCACCCCTACTGCAGCCCCCCCATGGCCTTCTCCCAAGCCCTGCCCCCACTCAGGTAGGCTCCTCCACTGGCCAGGCCTTCTGCAGAATCACAGGCGGTCCTCGCAGCTGACCTCAGGCCCTGCCTCATCGTGCCATTTTTAGCTCTAGCTGACCTCTGGGTTGTTTCTCATCTTGGCTCTTTGGAAAGTGCTGGGAACCCAGGAGTCCCTGGGGACCTGGACCTGGTGGGAGGTGCTCAGCTAGGCCAGCCTTAGCCCCATGCCCTGACAGTCATTTCTTCTTCTAGAAGCCCTTGCTCTGAGCTGCTTCTCTGGCGCTACCCTGGCAGCCTCATCCCCGAGGCCCTCCGTCTGCTGAGGCTGGGGGACACCCCCAGTCCCCCCTACCCTGCAACCCCAGCTGGAGACATAACGGAGCTCTGAGTGCTGGTGGACTGCCCCTCCCACCTTCCTTCTTCCCCACAACAGAAGAGACCAGCAACTCCTGCAAAGGGACAAGGTTCCTCCCTCTCCTGCAGACCAGGCATCTGGGCACCAAGACCTTCCCTCAACAGAGGACACTGAGCCCAACGGAGTTCTGGGATGGGAGGGGTGGGAGCATGGGAAGGGAGGCATCCCACCCCCAAGAAGAACTGAATAAAGATTGCTGAGCAAAGGAAGGCTTCAGTCTAGAACCTGGGGCTTTTGGGGATGGTGGAGAGGGGAGAGGTGCGGGATGCTGGGGTTTCTCCTCAAGATCTTCCCTGGAAAACTGTTAGGGCCAGCCAGGTCCTGGCCGGCTGAGTTCCAGGCATTGAGAATGTGTGAGTCAGAGCCTCACCCCCGCCCCCGCGGCTGGCTGACTCACTCCCTCCCTCCAGCTCAGGGGAGTCAGTCGGGGATCACTGCCTCTCCAAACCATTTAAAGTTAAAGATTCTTTTATTAATAAATTCTCCCTCCCCTCCAAACTCTCCCCAAAATAAATATCTCCTCCCCTCTTTAGGGAGTTGGGGGGGTCGGTATCTTAGGGCCAGCCCTCCTAGTGGGCCAGCCCCCTAGTGTTAAAAATAGGTCCCTAACCCCCCAGGGTGACCCCCATGGTGGAATTTCAGGACATCTGAGTGAGTGGGGCCTAGTGTCAAGTCTGCCCCCCAAGTCAGCCTGGCCCCCAGGGCCTCTAGGAAGGAGGACACCCCCCCCCCCACTGTGCAAATGCTGCAGTTCCTTAGTCAGTGTCAGCTGTTTTGTGTGAGCCAGCGTGAGGCTCCCTTTCTGTTCTGGGGCCAGAGGCAGGGCAACCAGACACCTTGGAAGGTTCCCCTGAACCCTGGGCCCAGGCCTCAGAGGTGATTCACCGCCCCCCACCCCCCTTGTGGTTGGAGGAGCTTGGCTCCTGCCGCGTCTGGGAGGCAGAGACTGGCTCTAGAATGGATGAATGAATGATGAGTGGGCGAGCCCCGGCTGGCAGGGGGCACATTGTCACTGGATCAGCGCCACAGCTGGGCAGCCCTCTCCGCCGGTCTCCTCTATGGGGGCTGCAAGATAAGAGGTGGGGTCGTCAGGGGCAGAGAAAAGGTCGAGTGCTGACAGGGCTGGGCAGGCCAGGGCGCACTTACTGGTGAACTTCTCTCTCCTGCGGCATCGTCTCCAGACCAGAAAGCCAGAAAGCAGCCCCAGCACGAAGGTCAGACTCAGAGCGCCCCCAAGGATGGGCCAAAGCAGCCGGAAGGGGGCAGGAGGTGCCGCAGCGCCTGGGGGCGGGACTCGGAGTCAGACCTCGCCCCTCTCCAGGCCAGCCCCGCCCCCTAAGACTGAGCCTTCAGCCTTCTCCCAACTGTGGCCTCCTCCCTGACCCGGGCCACCTTCCAACTCCCACCTTCTCCCGATTGACTTCCCCGATGCAAAGCTCTCGGCCACCCTCTCCGCACCAGCCACCCTCTCTCCCAGTCTGGGGTCCGCTGGCCACTGGCCCTGCCCCCCACTCACAGCCCAGGCAGAAGTCGCTGTGCGGTCGCGCCCTGCAAGACGCGCAGTCCATGCACTTGTCCAGATCCGCGCTCCAGGAACTGCCGCGGGAGCAGGGGGCGGTGCCTGGGGAGGGGGCCTCGGGTCAGAGGCTGGGGGCGGGACTCGGCTATTCTGGGGTCTGAGGTCAGGGTCGGCCGGCTCGAATAACGTGAGTCACTGGCGCCCTCCCCGCGCATTCCTCACAGGTGACCGCACGGCCCGACCGGGACACGGCAGCTCCAGGAGGGAGGGCGTAGCGCGGGACGCTGGGGGTGGGGGGGGGTCAGGTCCCCACAACCCCCCTGCCGCCGGCGGGTGACTCACTCCTGGGCACCGGGCCCGACCCCGGTCCCTCCCCCCGCATAGCTGGGCACTGAAGTCACCGGATGGAAGGGGGCACCCCACATGGTATAGAGGGCACAGACCCTAGTGCCTCTCGACGGCCTCCCCAACTCGTCGGTCACTGGGGCTAGTTAGACCCTGTACTGACCAGGCTGGGGGCGTGCCCCTTCCTAGACTAAACATCCCGCCCTCACTTACTTTCTCTCTCCACTTTCAAGTACTTTCGGACTTTCGGAACCGAAGAACCCACCCCAACCCCAATTGGACGGTGGGAGAAACTGAGGCCCGGATTGTGAATGAAACTTGGAGAGTGATGGAAGTTCCCACAGCCGGGAGCGAGCTGTTAGAAGGCCACCTGAACCCAGATACCCACATCCGCCTGTTCCCCCAGTTCCGCGCTGTTCTCCAGGCACCCAATCCGGCTCCCGAGCCCCGGATCGGGGTTCTCCGACCCCCAAGTCCCGCGTACCTGGCGCTTGCTCCCCAGCCACGGAGCGCAGCAACGCCAGCCAGACCCCCAGCACGAGGAGCCGCAGCAACCGGCGCAGCGAACCCCGAGCCATAGTGCACGTCCCGCGCCCGCCGCTGTCTGCGCCCGCCGCCGGCCGGCAGGGACCCACGGCCGCCGCCCCGCCCCCGCCCCCGCCTTCCGGGGCGGAGCTCTCGCCTCCGCCCGCCTTGAGTTTGGCTGCGGGACGCCCCGCCCCGCGGGGCCAGCTCAATTCAGTCATTCATTCAACAAAGTTCTGGTGCGGGAGCTGCCAGGACCCCGCAGGGACGCAGACCCCTCCCTTGCCCAGCAGGTGATCTAGTCCAGCGCGCGTGGGGAAATAAAAAATCAGACACGAGTGCTCTCTTCGGCATCTCATATAGAAATCAGACATGAACGGCCGGGCGCGGTGGCTCACGCCTTTAATCCCATCAATTTGGGAGGCTGAGGCAGGCGGATTAGGAGGTCAGGAGTTCGAGAGCAGCCTGACCAACGTGATGAAACGCCGTCTCTACTCAAAATACAAAAATTAGCCGGGCGTGGCAACGCGCGCCTGTAATCCTAGTTACTCAGGAGGCTGAGGCAGGAGAATCGCTTGAACCCGGGAGGCGGAAGTTGCAGTGAGCCGAGATGGCGCCACTACACTCCAGCCTGGGCGATAGAGTGAGAGTCCTTCTCAAATAAATAAATAAATAAATAAATAAATAAATAAATAAATAAATAAATCAAATCAGACACATGAACAATCCATGCAGAGATCACTGCAGCTTCCTTTTTTTTTCCTCCCCTTGAGATCGCGTCTTCCTCTTGTTCAGCCTGGAGTGCAGTGGTACGATCAGGCTCTCTGGGCTCGAGTCTCCCACCTCAGCCTCCCAAGTAGGGACCACAGGCACTGCGCCAGCACACACGACTAATTTTTGTATTTTTTGTAGAGACCAGGGTCTCACTATGTTGCCCAGACTAGCCTGGCCACTGCAGCTTTCTTAAGGCCCTTGGGGGTATAACAATTAAACCTGAGGTCAGGAGTTCGAGACCAGCCTGGCCAACATGGTGAAACCCCGTCTTTACTAAAACCAAAAATAAAAAAAGAAAGAAATTAGCTGGGCGTGGTGGTGGGCACCTGTAATCTCAGCTACTTGGGAGACTGAGGCAGAAGAATTGCTGGAACCCGGGAGACGGAGGTTGCAGTCAGTTGAGATAGCGCCATTTCACTCCAGACTGGGCGACAGAAAGGGCCCCCATCTCAAAAAATCAAAACAGGCCGGGCGCTGTGTTTCAGGCCTGTAATCCCAGCACTTTGGGAGGCTGAGGCGGGCGGATCAGAGGTCAGGAGATCGAGACCATCCTGGCTAACATGGTGAAACCCCATCTCTACTAAAAATACAAAAAATTAGTCAGGCGTGGTGGTGGGCGCTATAGTTCCAGCTACTTGGGAG